ACAAAAATCAAGAGACAAAGCAGGGCATTACATAATGGTAAAAGGATCAAAGCATCAAGAAGAACTAACGATCCTAAATATATACGTACCCAGTACAGGAGCACCCAGGTAAGTAAAGCAAGTTCTTAACGACCTTCAAAGAGCCTTTGACTCCCACCCAATAATAGTGGGAGACTTTAACACTCCACTGCCAATATTAGATCAACGAGACAGAAAATTAACAAGGATATCCAGAACTTGAACTCAGATCTGGACCAAGTGGACCTAATAGACATCTACAGAACTCTCCACCCCTAATCCACAGAATATACATTCTTCTCAGCACTGCATGGCACCTACTCTAATATTGACCACATAATTGGAAGTAAATCACTCCTCAGCAAATGTAAAAGAACAGAAATCGTAACCAACAGTCTCTCAGACCACAGTACAATCAAATTAGAACTCAGAATTCTAACTCAGAACTGCACGACTTCATGGAAACTGAACAACTGGCTCCTGAATGTCGACTGGATAAACAACGAAAATGACAACACAATGTACCAGAATCTCTGGGACACATTTAAAGCAGTGTCTAGAGGGAAATTTATAGCAATAAGTGCCCACCAGAGAAGTGAGGAAAGATGTAAAATCAACACCCTGTTGTCAAAATTGAAAGAGCCAGAGGAGCAAGATCAAAAAAACTCAAAAGCTAGCAGAAGCCAAGAAATAGCTAAGATCAGAGCAGAACTGAAGGAGATAGAGACACACAAAAATCCTTCAAAAAAATCAATAAATCCAGGAGCTGGTTTTTGGAAAAGATCAACAAAATAGACCACTAGCCAGAGTAACAAAAAAGAAAACAGAGAACAATCAAATAGATGCAATAAAAAATGATAAAGGGGATATCACCACTGACTCCATAGAAATACAAACTACAATCAGAGATTACTACAAACAACTCCATGCACACAAACCCGTCAACCTGGAAGAAATGGCTAAATTCCTGGACACTTGCACCCTCCCAAGCCTAAACCAGGAAAAAGTTGAATCCTTTAACAGACCAATAACACAGGCTGAAGTAGAGGCAGTATTTAATAGCCTACCAACCAAAAACAGTCCAGGTCCAGATGGGTTCACAGCTGAATTCTACCAGACATACACAGAGGAGCTGGTACCATTCCTTCTGAAACTATTCCAAACCATACAAAAAGAGGGAAGCCTTCCCAAATCATTTTATGAGACCAACATCATCATGATACCAAAACCCGGCAGAGACTCAACAAAAAAAGAAAACTTCAGGCCAATATCCATGACGAACATAGATGCAAAAATCTTTAATAAAATACTGGCAAACCGATTGCAACAGCACATCAAAAAGCTTATGCATCACCATCAAGTAGGTTTCATTCTGGGAATGCAAGGGTGGTTCAACATATGCAAGTCTATAAACGTAATCCATCACATAAGCAAAAACACATGATTATCTCAATAGATGCAGAGAAGGCCTTCGACAAAATTCAACAGCACTTTATGCTAAAACCTCTCAAACTAGGTATCGAAGGAACGTATCTCAAAATAATAAAAGCTATTTACGACAAACCTCCAGCCAATATCATAATGAATGGGCAAAAACTGGAAGCATTCCCTTTGAAATCCTGCACTAGACAAGGATGCTTTCTATCACCACTCATATTCAATATAGTATTGGAAGTTCTAGCCAGAGCAGTTAGGCAAGAAAAAAAAATAAAGGTATTCAATTAGGAAAAGAGGAAGTCAAACTGTCTCTATTTGCAGATGACATGATGTATATTTAGAAGACCCTATCATCTCAGCCCAAAGTCTCCTTAAGCTGATAAGCAACTTCAGCAAAGTCTCAGGATACAAAATAAATGTGCCAATATCACAAGCATTTCTATACACCAATAACAGACTAACAGAGAACCAAATCATGAGTGAACTCTCATTCACAATTGCTACAAAGAGAGTAAAATACCTAGGAATGTGAAGGACCTCTTCAAGTAGAACTATTAGCCACTGCTAAAGGAAATAAAAGAGGACAAAAACAAATGGACAAACAGTCCATGCTCATGGTTAGGAAGAATCAATATCGTGAAAATCGCCATACTGCCCAAAGTAATTTATAGATTCAACGCTATCCCCATCAAGCTACCAATTACCTTCTTCACAGAACTGGAAAAAACCACCTTAAACTTCATATGGAACCAAAAGAGAGCCCACATAGCCAAGACAATCCTAAGCAAAAAGAACAAAGCCGGAGGCATCATGTTACCTGATTTCAAACTATACTATAAAACTTCAGTAATCAAAATAGCATGGTACTGGTATCAAAACAGATATACAGACCAATGGAACAGAACAGAGGCCTTGGAACAACACCACACATCTACAACCATCTGATCTTTCACAAATCGGACAAAAGCAATGGGGAAAGGATTCCCTGTTCAATAAATGGTGTTGGGAAAACTGGCTACCAGTGTGCAGAAAGCAGAAACCATTCAGGACATAGGCACAGGCAAGGACTTCATGACTACAACACCAAAAGCATTGGCAACAAAAGCCAAAATAGACAAATGGGACCTAATTAAACTCCAGACCCTCTGTACAGCAAAAGAAACAATCATTAGAGTCAACCGGTAACCAACAGAATGGGAAAACATTTTTGCAATCTGCCCTTCTGACAAAGCACTAATACCCAGAATCTATAAAAAACTAAAACAGATTTACAAGAAAAAAAACAAACCCATCCAAAATTGGGAGAAGAATATGAAGAGACACTTTTCAAAAGAAGACATATATAAAGCCAACAAACATATGAAAAAATGCTCATCATCACTGATTATTAGAGAAATGCAAATCAAAACCACATTGAGATACCACCTCATGCAAGTTAGAATGATGATCATTAAAAAATCTGGAGACAACAGATGCTAGAGAGGATGTGGAGAAATAGGAACACTGTTAAACTGTTGGTAGGAGTGTAAACTAGTTCAGCCATTATGGAAGACAGTGTGGCAATTCCTCTAGGACCTAGAAATAGAAATTCCATTTGACCCAGCAATCCCATTACTGGGTATATACCCAAAGGATTATAAATCATTCTATTATGAAGACACATGCACATGTATGTTCATAGCGGCACTGTTTACAATAGCAAAGACCTGGAACCAACCCAAATGCCCATGGGCGATAGACTGGACAATGAAAATGTGACACATATACACCATGGAATACTATGCAGCCATAAACAACAATGAGTTCGTGTCCTTTTTAGGGACATGGATGAATCTGGAAACCATCATTCTTAGCAAACTGACACAAGAACAGAAAGTCAAACACCACATGTTCTCACTCAAAGGCGGGTGTTGAACAATGAGAACACATGGACACAGGAAGGCAAGCATCACACACTGGGGTCTGTTGGGGGGGCCAAGGAAGGGACTGTGGGGGTGGGTGGGGAGGTCTGGGAGGGATAACATGGGGAGAAATGCCAAATGTAGGTGCCGGGGGGATGGAGGCAGCAAACCACATTGCCATGTGTGTACCTATGCAACAATCCTTCATGTTCTGCACATGTGCCCCAGAACCTGAAGTACATTTTTTTAATCCCATTTATTTACAGTAACAAGTATTTATTTTTTGTTCTCATTATATTTGGGCAGGTAGCAGATTGGTAGCTGCAGCTCTGCTCCCCAGGTCATCTTAATTTGGTTTCCCATTTCCCTCCCCAGCATATATTGCAGGTATTATAGAAACTGATAACTACACATGCAACATGGGCTGGTTTGCAGCGTACAGAGAGCCCAAGCACAAAGGGGTGAAGACCTACAGGGGTCAGCCTGAGAACAGCTATCCTAGAGGTTTGAATCTATCCACGCAGATCGTTCTTCCCGCATTCCAGGCTCATCACTTCCTCCCATTCCAGTGTGGCTAATCCATACATAGAAAGTTAGGCAGCTCCACATTTTCTTGTCTAGCTGTGTTTCTTGAGATGTCTCCACAGCTAAGCGCCAGCTCCAATTCTGTACAGGAAGCTCCTGTTGCTGTCCCAGAACTCACGGCCCAATCTGCTCTACTTTGTTGAAGTTTGGTCACCTGGTTCCCTTGCCTTCAACTCCTCTGGGTCCTCTTCACTTGGCAATCCGTTACTGTCAGTTCTTCTGGGCTTTCTAATCACTGCTGGAATACTTTTGTCCTTTATGCCTAAGGCTGCAGAGACAGGAATGAAGCTCTCCTCCAGGTCCTGGATTCCTTTTTTACTTCCCTTCTGTATCTTCACTGTATGTTTACTGTGAGTTTTCGACACTCTCAGTTTAAAGCTGTGTTGTGACTCTGGCCTTTTGATGAGGTATCATCCTCTGGCTTCAGCAAAGAGCCTGATAAAGGGTGTCCTGCAGAGAGTAGTTTCAAGGTGTCTCCAGAGCCCTGGAGCTGCTTGAGTGAGAAGGCAGCCCAGCTGTCTTAAGGACTTAAAAAAATAATCAGGATCTTACTACCTGGCAGATTGGAGTGTAGGGGCATGATCATAGCTCACTGCAGCCTCAACCTCCTGGGCTGATGTGATCCTCCTGCCTCAGCCTCCTGAGTAGCTGAGGTGTGCACAACCAAGTCCAGCTAATTTTTAAAACTGTAGAGACAAGGTGGTCCTGCTGTAGTGCTCAGGGTCCCACTGTATTGCTGGTCTGGAACTCCTGGTCTGAAGCAGTCCTCCCTCCTCCACTTCACAAAGTGCTGGGATTATAGGCATGAGCCACTATATCCAACCTCTTAAGGACTTTTTGATCCGGCTTCAGTTTCTGCTCCAGTGTTGGTACAAACCTGCCTTTTAAAACCCTTTGGACCACATTAGTGCTGTATCAAAGCCTTCAGCCAAGCTGGGAACCGAGCAGGACTCTGCAAATTCCTTATGTAAATACCAGATCTGCTTTACGGACGGGGCACCTGGCACCTCCATTTACCTCCAATATTTTTGATATCAGATTGCTTTTTTGTCATTTCAGGGCATCAAGGAAGAGAACCAATGACACATGCAAGCAAGATGGGAGTCTGGAGAGCTTTGGCCTAAGTCACGAGCACTCAGCCCTTTTCTCTTTGTAAGGGCAACTGGGTCATATCTGCCAGCTTGGAGCTACTCTGTCCACAACCCTAAAATCTAACACCTAGAACAGTAAATGCACTTAAGCATGTCAGACTCTCCCAACTCGTGATAAAATCTGTCATTAGCAAAGGGACTTGTACCAAGAGAGCTGAACACCTGTTCCTGCACCCTGACAACCAACAGGAAACAAAGACTGCTATGGATGCAGCCCCAGGAGCCTAGTGTTCAGGGGGTGCAAGGCCTGGCTTCAGGCTGGGGGCCTACGGACGGTCTGGCACTTCTCCACCTCTTGCAGCTCCTGTTCCTCCAGTTCCTGGTGAAAATCCAGGTCTGACACCCACCAGGTCACAAACTCATAGCAAGTGAGGGCCACAAGGCTTCACATTCTGAGATGTAGCTCGAAGGAACGGATGGTATAATATACGGCCATGCACTACCTGTGTTTCCTCAACACGGGACTGCATATATGACAATGGTCTGTCCCATGAGATTATAATAAAGCTGAAAAATTCCTATCACCTAGCGATATCGTCGCCATAGTAATGTCAAGGCCTGAGGTATTACTCACATGTCTGTGATGATGCTGTAAACAAAGCTGCCACCCTGCTAGTTATATGAGGAGAACACAATTATCTAATACATAGTACCTGATCACAATACCCAAGTGTACTACTGGTTTATGTATTTACTATATATACTTTTAGTCATGATTTTAGAGTGTACTCCTTCTGCATATATGTATTAACTGTAAAACAACCTGAGGCAGGTCCTTCAGGAGGTATTCCAGAGAAAGGCATTGTAATCACAGATGACAGCTCTTTGTGTGTTATCGCCCCTGAAGACCTTCTAATGGGACAAGATGCGGAGATAGAAGACACTGATATTGACAGTCCTGACCCGTGTAAGCCTAGGCTAATGCATATGTGTGCTTGTGTCTTAGTTTTTACCAAAAAGTAAAAAAAAAAAAAAAAAAAAAAAACTAGCTAATGGAATAAAGATATAAAGAAACTCCTTTTGTACAGCTGTACATGTGTTTGTGTTTTCAGCTGTGTTATTACAAAAAGGTCAAACTTTAAAAAGAAACAAGTTTATAAAGTACAAAGATTGCAGTACAGCAAGGTCAATTTATGGTTGAAGAGAAACATTTAAAAAATAAATGTAGTGTAGCCTAAGTGTAGCGTGTTTATAAAGTCTACAGTGGTGTACAGTGATGTCCTAGGCCTTCACATTCACTCACCACTCACTCACTGACTCACCCAGAGCAACTTCCTGTCCTGCAAGCTGCATTCATGATAAATGCCCTATACAGGGGGACCATTTTAACCTTTTCTATCATATTTTTACTGTAAACATATCTACGTTTAGATGTTTAGACACACAGGTATTTACCATGGTGCTACAGTTGTCTATGGTTTTGAGTACAGTAACATGCTGTACGGGTTTCTAGCCAAGGAGTGACAGCCTATCCCATATAGACTAGGTTTGGTAGATTGTACCATGTAGGTTTAAGTAAGTACATGCTATGATGTTCCCACAACAACAGAATCACTTAATGAAGCATTTCTCAGAACATATCCCTGTGGTTAAGCAGTAAGTGACTGTATTTTCTGTCTACAATTCACCTCCATTATATATGTATATACGCACACACACAAATATATATATATATATATAAAATCTTTTTTCTATATTTCTCATGGTAGAGGTAAAGAACACCAGGACTTTCAGGAAAAACTAATGTGTCTTCAAGCTTCTGCTTTATGTGGCTCATGTTATATCTGAGCATATGCTAGTGGACGAAGTAGTCACAAAGCCAAGGCTTCCAATGGGATGGGGAAGCATACTTCATTTTCTTGAAGGCACTGTAAGTCACAATGCATCAGGTGGGGTCATACTGTCCTTTTACAGTGAAGAGAGGAGTAAATAATAGAGAACAATAATATAGTTCACCAAAGATGCGAAGGCCAATTATATCCAAAAAGCAAGATCAGTTTGGTGGAATGACTTACTAATGCACTGAGATGCCCATATGCCCATATTTCCTGCCAAACAGTCTAAATGGAAAACTAGAATCCTCATTAAAATGAAAAAAGATATGTCACATGCTAAAAACCCTCAATAAACTAGGTATTGATGGAACGTATCTCAAAATAATAAGAGCTATTTATGACAAACCCACAGCCAGTATCATACTGAATGGGCAAAAGCTGGAAGCATTCCCTTTGGAAACCAGCACACGACAAGGATGCCCTCTCTCACCAGTCCTATTCAACATAGTATTGGAAGTTCTAGCCACAGCAATCAGGCAAGAGAAAGAAATAACGGGTATTCATATAGGAAAAGAGGAAGCCAAATTATCTCTGTTTGCAGATGACATGATTGTATATTTTTAAAGCCCCATTGTGTCAGCCGAAAATCTTCTTAAGCTGATAAGCAACTTCAGCAACATCTCAGGATACAAAATCAATGTGCAAAAATCACAAGCATTCCTATACACCAATAATAGAGAGCCAAATTATGAGTGAACTCCCATTCACATTTGCTATAAAGAGAATAAAATACCTAGGAATACAACTTACAAGGGATGTGAAGGACCTCTTCAAGGAAAACTACAAACTACTGCTCAAGGAAATAAGAGAGGACACGAACAAATGGAAAAGCACTCCATGCTCATGGTTAGGAAGAATCAGTATCAGGGAAATCAATATCAGAATCAGAGAAAATGGCCACAATGCCTAAAGTATTCTGTAGAGTCAATGCTATTCCAATCAAGCTACCATTAACTTTCTTCACAGAATTAGAAAAAACTACTTTAAATTTAATATGGAACCCAGTAAGAGCTTGCATCGCCAAGACAACCGTAAGCAAAAAGAACAAAGCTGGAGGCATTACGTTACCTGACTTCAAAGTATACTACGAGGCTACGGAAACCAAAACAGCATGGTGCTGGCACCAAAACAGATACATAGACCAATGGAACAGAACAGAGGCCTCAGAAGCAACACCACACATCTACAACCATCTGCTTTTTGACAAACCTGACAAAAACAAGCAATGGGGAAAGGATTGCCTATTTAATAAATGATGTTGGGAAAACTGGTTAGCCATACGCAGAAAACTAAAACTGGATTCTTTCCTTATATCTTAAACAAAATTTAACTCAAGATGCATTAAGGACTTAAATGTAAGACCTAAAACCATAAAAACTCTAGATAAAAAACTAGGCAATATCATTCAGGACATAGGCATGGGCAAAGACTTCATGACTAAAACACCAAAAGCAATGACAACAAAAGCCAAAGTTGACACATGGGATCTAATTAAATTAAAGAGCTTCTGCATAGCAAAAGAAACTGTCAAGAGAGAACAGGAAACCTACAGAATGGGAGAAATTTTTTGCAATCTATCCATCTGACAAAGGGCTAGTATCTACAAAGAACTTAAACAAATTTCCAAGAAACACACACACACACACACACACACACACACACACACCCATCAAAAAGTGGGCAAAGGATATGAACAGACAGTTCTCAAAAGGAGACATTTATGCAGCCAGCAAACCTATGAATAAAAAGCTCATCATCATTGGTCATTAGAGAAATGCAAATCAAAACCACAATGAGCTACCATCTCACACCAGTTAGAACGGTCATTTTTTTTTTTTTTATACAAAAACAAGGGATTGCTAGCAAGATGGTCAAATTTAAGAACAGCTCTGGTGTGCAGCTCCCAGCGAGCATGACGCAGAAGGAAGGTGATCTCCACATTTCCAGTTGAGGTAACTGGTTCATCTCATTGAGACTGGTTAGACAGTGGGTGCAGCCCAAGAAGGGCAAGCCGAAGCAGGGTGGGGCATCTCCTCACCTGGAAAGCACAAGGGGCCAAGGAACTCCCTCTCCTAGCCAAGGGAAGCCGTTAGGGATGTCTCCCAGCACTCTGGCCCATGTACTGCACTTTTCCCAAACTCTTCACAACCCACAGACCAGGAAATTCCCTCTGGTGCCTACAATACCAGTGGCCCGGGTTTCCATCACAAAATCGTGTGGCTATTTGGGAAGACACTGAGCTAACTGCAGCAGTTGTTTGTTTGTTTGTTTTTAATATCCCAGTGGTACCTGGAACCCCAGTGAGACAGAATCAGTCAGTCCTCTGAAAAAGGGGGCTGAAGCAAGGGAGCTAAGTGACCTGACTCAGTGGGTCCCACCCCCATGAAGACCAGCAAGCTAAGATCCACTGATGTGAAATTCTTGCAGCCAGCACAACAGTCTGAGTTCGACCTTGGACGTTTGAACTTGGGGTGGGGAGGGGCGTTCGACATTACTGAGGCTCCAGTAGACAGTTTTAACCTCACCTGTGTAAACAAAGTTTCCATGAAGTTTACACAGCAACTGGGCAGAGCCCATGGCAGCTCATCAAGGCCTCTGCAAGCAGACGGTGTCACCAGACTCCCTCCTTGCTGGGTAGGGCATATCTGAATAAAGGCAGTAGCCTATCAGGGACTTATAAATAAAGCCCCACCTTCCCAGGACAGAACACCTGGGAAAAGGGGTGGCTGTGGGTACAGCTTCAACAGACTTAAACGTCCCTGCCTGGCAGCTCTGAAGAGAGAAGCAGATCTCCCAGCTCAGCATTTGAGCTCTGATAAGGGACAGACTACCTCCTCAAGTGGCTCCCTGACCCCTGTGTATCCTCACTGGGAGACACCTCCCAGCAGGGGCTGACAGACATCTCATACAGGAGAGCTCTGGCTGGCATCTGGCAGGGACCCTTCTGGGATGAAGCTACCAGAGGAAGGAACAGGCATTTATCTTTGCTGTTCTGTAGGTGATTCCCAGGCAAGCAGGGTCTGGAGTGGACCTCCAGCAAACTCCAGCAGACCTGCAGCAGAGGGGCCTGCATGTTAGAAGGAAAAATAAACAGAAAGAATTTCAACATGAACAGAAAGGACATTCACTCAGAGACCCCATCCAAAGGAAGATAAATCCATGAAGATGGGAAGAAACCAGAGCTAAAATGCTGAAAATCCCAAAAACCAGAATGCCTCTTCTCCTACAAGGGATCACAGCTCCTCACCAGCAAGGGAACAAA